TGGGAGCCTCAACATCTCACAACTCTATGGGCCTCCACGGCCTGTTACAGGGATACCTTTACATACTTACTTTACCGAACTATACCAACCGAACTACCGCCGCTTGTCGGCGAAGTTAGTACCAACTTTAGCGGATAGAGGGTGTCGCGTAGTCAGCGCAACGGATCCCCACGGCCGTTAATCTCGGTATTTCTAGACCGGAATCGCTATGTCCTTGAAATAGCTCCACAATTATCCTCACGAGGCTGACTGGACCCCGTTCCAGACCCACTACTTCTCGGAAAATCTAGTAGCGCCGGGAATCGAACCCAGATCGCTGGATCTGTAGCCTGGAACTCTGACCACTAGACCACAGAGGCGGTCAGAAAGTGGTTACGCTCGTTAATTCGTTTGCTGAGACGGCTTCGCTTAAAGAAAATTGTATTTGGGTACCCCTATGATAACCGGCGCTATTTTTCTTGTTACATCCGACTCAGCTGACCAATAAAGTACATACTCGGAATCCTTTAGAATCTACTTAATAAAGTACAATGTTGAAAATGTGGCACAGTTCAGATATTTGGGAACAACGATAACAGATCGAAACCTGATTCAGGAGGAAATTAAGAGGCGATTGAACTCGGGTAATGCTTGCTACCATTCAGTCCAGAACCTTTTGTCTTCTCGCCTGCTGTCCAAAAACATAAAAATTAGAATATACAAAACTATAATTTTGCCTGTGGTTCTGTATGGTTGTGAAACTTGTTCTCTGACATTAAAGGAGGAACACAGACTGAGGGTGTTTGAGAACAGGGTGTTGAGAATATTTGGACCGAAGAGAGATTAAGTGACAGGAGATTGGAGAAAACTGCATAATGAGGAGCTTCATAATTTGTACTCTTCTCCAAGTATAATTAGAATGATCAAGTCAAGGATTGGAGGTGCACAGGTCATGTAGCACGAATGGGGGAGACGAGGAAAGCGTGTAGGATATTGGTGGGAAAGCCAGAAGGAAAGAGACCACAGGGAAACCAAGGCGTAGGTGGGTGGACGATATTAGAATGGATCTTAGAGAGATAGGATGGGATGGTATTGATTGGATTGATCTGGTTCAGGATAGGGACCAGTGGAGGGCTCTTGTGAACACGGTGATGAAAATTCGGGTTCCATAAAATCCTGGGAAATTCTTCAGTAGCTGCAGAATTGGCAGCTCCTCCAGAAGGGCTCAGCTCCATGAGTAAGTAAGTAAGTAAGTAAGTCGGTCAACAGCATACATAACTGTAGGAGCCTTAGGGCAGAGGTTGCTTACCTGACCATCGACCTTGAATGGTTGGCGTTCATACAAACCCTGTGCAAGAAAGTACATCGACGTTAAACAGCACGAACCTGTCGCCTACATCGTGTTAAAATAAAGCAGTGCATTCATATAATTCACCCGGACTGCTGTAATTTAGTTTTGCTGTATGGAGATATAATTCGGCCGTTCCTTGCTTAACTCCATGCAGTCATGAGCTCTGTAACGCGTGATAAAGCCGAGATATTCCAGAGGTTTGTAGGCACTGAAGGGCTGGAACAGTCACATATTCTCCATCACATGCACTCTCATTGTATCAAGTTTGGTACTTTGAGATGAACCTTAAACCGTGTGAAACCGCAATTTAAACTGGAAGCCCACAGAGGGGCATGCGAGTTAACGCTTATCAGGTGCCTCAGACCTTACAATTCGCTTGACCCTTTCAAGGCCAGAGTTCATATATTTGATCACATGACTCCGCTGTAACTTAATTTCATTATCTGTGGAGACCAGTAAAATCTGTAAATCACTTACATAGTTAATAAACATCAATGGTACAAAGTGGACAGTAATACACTGCAATAAAATTGCCGTTAGGAATTGTCAGTAACTGATTAGATAGTACCTGGACGACCTGGGTTCGATTCCCGATAGAGATATGAAACTGTTGTTTCACATCGTGTCCACACCTTCTACCCCCCCATCTATGCAGTTGGAGTCGGAGGCTTCTTCCAAAGTGTGAAGTTGACGTCTCTTTGTAAGATTTGAGGCTTTCACGGCGGTGACTATGAAGAAAGCAGTCTTCTGGGATTTGGCACCGTGTATATGTGGTGTTAACCGACGTTTCGGAGGAACGTATCGCCTCCATCTTCAGGGTAGAAGAAAAAGTATAAGAAATCTGCAAGCGACAAGACCTTGAGAACTTTAAAAGCAGACTCTCACGGTCTTGTCGCTTGCAGATTTCTTATACTTTTTCTTCTACCCTGAAGATGGAGGCGATACGTTCCTCCGAAACGTCGGTTAACACCACATATACACGGTGCCAAATCCCAGAAGACTGCTTTCTTCCTTGACGTCTCTTGTCTGTCTTCCTGCCCGCCTCTGTACCTTCATATCTGTTTATTCATCTGTGTGTCTGTCCATATACCTGTCATTTTGACATTCCTGGCAGAAATGCTCACATTAGACATAATGGCAATGAAGGAAAGCGGGTCAGATCTGCAGGTTTAGCAACGTATGCCTCAGAAATCTGCCATGTTCGCAAAACAGTTCTGACTGCGGATCCTGCTACCCGTCTGTCTGTGTCGGACTGTGAGTGAGGGTTAAGTAATTTGACTGTCTACTCTTAGGCCAGGCCACGAAAGGTAAAGACTGGTTCACACACGTCGTGTGCTTAACGGGGGTCAAAGTCTGTGGCGACGGGTTACGTGGCTTCAATAGGAAGATGCTTGATGAACTCATACAGACATCTCATTGTGCTCTGTCATTGCGTGCTGAGAACGACCATGTATAATTACAGCGTTTTATGTGAAGTTAACATTCCTTTCCTTGTTAAACGTGAACTCAGTCTCGGTTAGATTGTTAATCAAATCAGACAGGCAAGTATTATTCTTGATATACGTCCGCCTCGTTCAAATCAGCAGAGAATCTGAACTGGGCAGCGCAGACACTTGACTGTCGGCAGCAGACACTGGTGGGAGGTTCTCTCATCACGTATCATCACAGTAAGTGACGCATTTGTAATCGGTGTGGCTCAAAAACAAGATTTGAGCGTTCGGCACTCCCTACTGAGCCCGGAGCAGAGCACACCGTTAACTTTAGTTGATGTTTATATCTTTACTGAAGGCCTCTGTGGTCTAGTAGTCAGAGTTCCTGGCTACAGATCCAGATGTCCCAGGTTAGATTCCCGGAGCTACCAGGTTTTCTAGGGAGTAGTGGGTCTGGAACGGGGTCCACTCAGCCTCGTGACGATAATTGAGGAGCTATTTCAATGAAATAGCGGCTCCGATCTAGATAAACCGAGATTAACGGCCGCGGGGATCCGTTGCGCTGACTACGCGACACCCTCTATCCGCAAAAGTTGGCACTAGTTGGTTAGTTTAGTTAGTTATTGGAGAGGGTGGGTTTCCCCATGCACTTAGACCAGTATTGCTTCCCTCTATGATATTCTACCAGTCTCTATACCCTACCCATATTGGTGCGTACCATCAGTCCCGACCGAGCCAGCGAGTTCGGCCTCCACTAGGTTGGCGGTATCTATAATGCTTCCCCCATCTATCAGAAGCATTAGAGACTACTGTTGGGCGGGAAATGACCTTGAATTTGGCTCAGTGACCTCCTTTGGAGATATGACGTTCTTTTACGTGCCGTAAAGCTACGACACGGGACCCACGGCTTAAAGTCCCTCCCGGAGGACTTGTTCCCTGAATTTTTCCGCCCTTAAAAATTCCACGACCTCCGCCGCGTTTGAACCCGCGTGCCACGAGTCATGAGGTGGGAACGTTACCTCTAGACTACGGAGGCCGCTAAGTTGGCACTAACTTCGCCGACAAGGGGCGGTCGCCCGGTCGGTATAGTTCACTTGTGGACTACAGACCACGGAGTTCATATCTTTGACTTTGTTTTTTATACTAACTATTAATAACAGTGCATTTTCATCAGATTCCTTCAACTTAACAATTCAGAGGTCGGGAATCCGGCGGGACCCGACGGAAAGTCACTACTGTTAGCAAATACTATAAATATTCAATTAAAGGTAGAACGCACCAAAGAAGGAGTGGACGGGAGAAACACAGATATAGAGAAAGAAAGGAGAGAACAAAATACGTAAAGAAAGGGAAATTAAAAATAAAACGAAAGAAGGGGAAAGAAAATACAAAAGACCAATATATACTGAAAGTAAGATGGGCTGATTAAAGGCCCATAACACCACAACGTGAACTGATTTAACCTGCTTGAATTGTACTCGACCACAGTGGCTATTCGCGAGACCCGCTGCTTTGATCAAGTCAAACGCAAACATAAAACTACATGGCACTTATTCTCACATCGGTGCCTTGGGAGAATATTGTCTTCTTGCATGCAAAGCCATGTAGTTTGGTAAATAAGTGCCATCGTTTCGGAGAAACCTGCTGCATCCACCTTAAGAGAAGAAGGAATGGAAATTTAGGCATCAGGTTAGTTTAGTATTTTCCCCACAACATTTTCTAGGGCTGACAGCAATATCGCGACGATATCCGGGTTATTCCAATGCTTGCAGTCATTTCAGCATATATAGGTGCCATTAGGGAAAATATTCTTTTGAGGAGCAACCGTAACCACCAGTATACCCACAAGAATATTGCACAGATAATATCTCATATTTCATATAATTCATTGTATTAATATGCACCTCAGAAGACATTAATGTTCAAACATTGAAAGTTTGGTAGTGGTACTCCCTCCCTCCACACGAATCTTATCAGCTGACCCAACTAAAAACAGCGTGCGTTTCCTTCCATTCCAGATGTAAATGGCTGAACTGCCGTGATTCTTACGCCGTTCTTGCTTGTCACATTAGTGAACACTGAAATTCTTTTTCTTTTCACTTCGAAACATATGTATTTCCAGTTTGTTGGAGTATGGCAGGCCCCGAGCTACGTGCCCGGGGCTCTGACGTCATGGCATTACGTAACAGCCCCAGAGACAACGTATAGTAACTTAGCGTGCATCTGTTTTTGTGTTGCAGAGAAACTTCTTAACTCCGAGGGTCGTGAGCTGAGGCGGGCCCTCTTTTCTCTGAAACAGATTTTTCAGGTGAGTATCTGAGTTTAAGAGTAGGAACATGCCATTGTATTAGTGCCCGTGTTTTGCATGTTATAATGCTCGGAACTGCATGTTCACAAGGGCATATCATACCCCAGTGTTACACAAAATGTACAGGCTTTAACTCTTTTATCCGTTGTTTTCTTTCCCTCCAAGAAATAAATTAATGAATGGATACAAGTTCCCAGGTGACAAATAGAAATAAAGCTCCAAGCACTCTAGACCCGGGCGTTAAATAAAGGTGACATCAGCCCATTGCTAGGCAACGGCTCAATAGACACGTCCCCGCGGAGACGGATTCTTGGCAAACAACCCGTTGCTGGGTAATGCGAATAACATTGCTGGTTATCGGACCAATAAACATGCGGTCATAACGATATACGATGAGAATGAAAGATGTTTCCTATGTGGTCTGCGTCGAGACTGCTAGGCAATTACGTGGTAAAACGCCTCTACAACAATAGCGGGGCTATATTTTCTGTGCTGCGTGGTCCGTGCCCAGGAAACAGCCCCTGGTCTCAGTCACTGGCAAGATGGCGAAACCACAAGACAATCGTTCTGCATTCTGCAACTCAGCAAGACTGAACCCGTAAGTGCGGTGACGGCATTTTAGTATTGATCCGCCAGTGCCAAAGAGTATTCGTCATTGGTACCGACAATTTGAGAAGACAGGGTGTGTCTGTAAGGTGAAGAGCACAGGGCGACCACGCACTTCAGAGGAAAACGTGAGAAGAATTCAAGAGAGTTTTGTGCGTAGCCCGCGAAAGTCCACTCGTCGAGCCAGCGGGAACTTGCCTTTCTTTTACGACTGTGTGGCGTGTGTTAAGGCGACGTTTACACAAGAGGCCATATCGGTTTGCAGCTGGTACAGGCTTTTCGTGCAGGCGACAAAGAAAGGCGTGTAGAGTTTTGTGATGCCATGTTGCAGGACATGGAGGACGACAACTTCTTACCACGTTTAATTTTTAGTGATGAAACAACATTTCATCTAAGTGGTTTGATGCAATTACTGTAATTGTCTTTATGGCTGCCATGTCCATCACAAAGACTGAGCATGTTAGTGTAGCAGTTGACGCTCTAGATCTGTAGACGTGGTCTACAAGTATGCGTTTCGAATACCTGCCATGATCGAGGTCTTTCTTAATTTTATTCAGTCGCCAGTCGAGTGCTGGATAGCAATGTGTCAACTTTTCTGCCACCCAAATTCGTATCTATTCACCAAACCTGATCATCTTCGTTTATGTATATGTTATATAACTTCTGCAGCTGAAACAGCCGCTTGCAATGACATGAGAATCAACCTCGTCTAATGAACAGGCTAGAGACTTAATGGAAGGTTCTTCTGTATTAGGATAGTGCTGTAACCACAATATGGCCGCATTACCTGCAGGTCGGCGCTCTTCTCTTGTTTTCTTTCTTCCAAACGAGTTCAGTTCCCAACAGACGCGGAGCACGAGGCTGGAGTGCTGCGGATATGCTTCTGCTGATATTGTCTGGTGTTCTTCCTGCTTCATACATCAGACATTAGGAACCGCAACCAGTAACTGGAAACCAAAGATTCTGAATTATTTCTGCTGCATTTAGGATTACTTAGTTTGTTTTTATTTTATCAGATTTTCAGTTACAGCATCTTTTAATGGCACGTTTCAGCTATCCGTTGATGACAACATGAGCAAATATTCCTTCACCTTGCCCCCCCCCCAAGAGTCCCCATTATGATTTCACAGTATAGCTAAAACAAGTTACATTAAATATTTATGATGTGCAGCCTGTTCTTAGCTTGAAATTGAGAACTTCGTAAGGCGCATAATTTAGCAAAATATTTTTACCCGAAGTATCACACAGTATGCTGATCGCAGTAGCCACGCGGTCTGGGACATGAAATGTCTTCGCCCGCTCGAACACTGGGAACATGGGTTCGAATCCCGCTCCACGTATGGATATCTTCTGTTTGTCTTAGGTAGAGGCCTTGCGACGGGCTGATCCCCCGTCCAAGGAGTCCTACCGACTGTATATAGATTAAGAAACTGAAGTGAAACGAAGCGTTTCACGGGTACCCTGTGCTCCAAAATGGGAGCAACAGTACTAGAAGGAGAAGAAGATACAGTACATCCTCGATAATGCGATCCAATTAAAAAACTGATGTGTTCGGATTACTTGATTCGAAATAAACAGTTCGAATTTCTTTAGTAAAATCATTTATTGAAAAGATTTATGGGTACCCAGATCGGCTCATCCGACTACCGGAACCCGCTGACGGTCTAATGCACTCCGAGCTCGAGGCAAGCCCTCACCATCTAGAGAGGCAGGTTATTTAACACACTATGTTTCACAAGAATTCATTCTTTCTGCAATGAGAGAACATAATTAGATTAAATTAGTAATTTTTGGAGGTATCGATTTATCTGTGGCACCGGTAAGTCAGTTCGGAGTCCCGAGGTTCAAGTATACAAGAATAACTCGTCATATAACTTAAAATGTTACAAAAATATATGCGAAGCTCGGAAAACGAGTAAATTAGAATATAAAATAAGCTGTTGTAATTGTGGACAAATTTAATCGAAATATGACAGGAATCCATTTGGGACCCAGAATATGACAACAGGTGTTATTAAGAGCCATTTCTGGAGCCTGTGTATGTTCGGGTTCAGAAGGATACTGTGGGTAATTTTTAATCAGCTGACACAGTCTATAGCCTAAGAAGATTTTACTAACGTCAGCCGCCGTGAAAGCGTCAGATCTTAGTAACGAAGTTACTAAGATCTGTGAAAGTGGAAACTGCATTCTATAGCAGCTAGGCTTATTCTAGCCTTGTATCCTCCAAGAAGGGACTTCTGTCCTTCTCCACTAGAATCGCGCATTACTTACTTACTCATGGGTGTGGGCCGCGCCGTAGCTCAAGCGGTTAGTCGCTGACTTCCCACCGCGGCGGCCCAGGTTCCATCCCGGGTCTGGTCAAGTGGGATTTCTGGTGAACAAAGTGGCGTTGGAGCAGGTTTTCGCCGAGTAGTTCGGTTTCCCCTGCCAATCTTCGTTCCACCAACTGTTCCACAATCACCCTCACCTATCATCTGGGGCTGGTACAATAGGTCAGAAGTGGCCGCAGTACAAGGGATTAGTCCCACCCCACTAGCAATAAAAAAAACTCATGGGGCTGAGCCCTTCTTGGGGAGCCGCAAATTCTGCAGCTACTCAAGGATTTTCCAGCATTTTATGGAACCCGAAGGTTCTTTACCGTGTCCACAAGAGCCCTCCACTGATTTCTACCCTGAGCCAGACCAATCCAATCCATACCATCCCATCCTATCACTCTAAGATCAATTCTAATATTGTTCACCCACCTACGCCTTGGTCTTCCCAGTGGTCTCTTTCCATCTGGCTTTCCCACCAACATCCTATATGTATTCCTCTTCTCCCCCATTCGTGCTACATGCCCTGCCCACCTCATCCTCCTTGACTTGATCATTCTAATTATACTTGGAGAAGATCACAAGTTATGCAGCTCCTCACTATGCAGTTTTCTCCAACCTCCTGTCACTTCATCTCTCTTCGGTCCAAATATTCTCAACACCCTCAGTCTGTGTTCCTAGCATCGTGCATTGCATTTCGAATTCGTCTCTCTAGTGTGACAACCTCCTCCTCAGTAACCACTTCATTTTTATGCTGTTGCATGATCGGGAGAGTAGGTCCAGACGTAATATGCTCTTCGTCTGTCTCCCATGGAGCTAGAGGTTACCTCGCCCTCAACAAGCGATTCAGGGATGTGTAAATGTGCAAGCATACTTATTCAGTAATCGTGACAGTTGGACACGGGTTCGTAGTCTATTCAAGAACGCTATATCAACTACAGAGGTTATGTAGTGTTGAATGGGTTAAGGACAGTAATGAAGAGTTACGTAAAAAACGGGAGCTTCATAATTCTTGCCACTTATTTGGTATCGTTAATGTGGCGAAGATGGAAAGGTTAATATCAGTGGGATATTAAGTCCACATAAGAATGAGAAAATGTACGAAGACATTTATAAACGTTCGCCATATTTCTTTTAAGTTTTGCCTGAAGTTTACTACTGCCCAGAAGGTCGTTAAGATTGCGTTGTAAATTACGCAGTTTTCTTTCATGTGATGCTTAACTACAAGACTTCAGTACCGACTCGTATTCATCTTCTGTTGATATCCTCTTTCCTGTCAGTTTGGAAAGCGACTGCGAATGAAGTAGGCACAATCATAATTTCGTTTAGAAAGCCGCTGTATTCCAAACTTCAATTAATCCTCTGTAAGACAGTGACAGCTGCGTGTACTGCGTGCTTTGCCGTTAAACAAAATGGCACATCCTCCACAGACTGCAGGATTCGTTCGGCCTTCAGATCAAACAGCTATTATTTCTATAATTATCATTAATCGGAGTCGGGATAGTTCACGGGCTGGACGGCCCGAGATTGATTCCCGGTAACGTAAGATTTTTCTGTTCTTGGCAGTGTCAAGACCGGCATTGGGGCCCACCCAGTCTCCTATCCAGTGGGTACCGGGGTATCTTTTCTCAGGGGTGAAGTAGCAGAAGTGTGAAGCTGGGCGCTCACCTCCATCTGATGCAGAGGTTAGGAATGGTGGAGCTGTACCTCCACTCCTCCATATGTCTTCATGGCGTGGTGTTCGACTGGTTGAGCACAGGGACAGCTTTACCTAATTATCGATAACATACGGGCCTTTAGATTCTGAAGGGTTCTGACGATGATGTATAACTCAGTTATTTGGTTTTCGGACTTTGTCCATCGTCCGGTATTCTAAAAAAAAAAATAGCCGCATGTGAAAAGAGTTTTGATTCAGAGTCATCAAAATAGAGCTTCCACCATATGTCAAGAACAAGATCTGGTTAACGAAATTAGCAACCTGAGACGTGATCTTCAGCTCAACGGTTATTCCCAATGTTTCATTGTCTCGGTCATTAATTCCAAGGGTAGCATTCATCTGAATAAAGAACAAAAGCCTCTGGGCTCTGTGAATATCCCATACGTGAAGGATGTTTCAGAGAAGTTCAAACGTACAGGGATTCGATGCAACATTAGGACGATCTCCAGAACTAAACACACTCTCAGGAGTTCACTCATAAAACCAGGCCGGAAAGAGGTCCCACTTTGTCACGTTTTTCTTTGTCTGCTTAGGACTCGAAGAAGCAGTACTGTAACTGGGTGAAACAGGAGTTGAGAAGGCGCAACATGGCACCGCTACACCACCGTCAGCTTAGCCAAACAATCATACAGCAGTGTACGGCGGGGCAGTATTGAGGATGTCTGTTCTGTGACGTAATGGTGACGTCTGCGTTCAGGAAATCTTAAAATATGCAATTAACAGCAATTATTAAAATTTTCATGTACTAGTCCCTACATGTATACAATTTGCAAGAACCTTAATACATGTTGTAACGTGGATGGCCAGAGCGTTTCTAGGCAGCGACATGTAAACAACCTTCAGTCGCGTAAGCGCACTCAACAATAGGATGAATGTTTATAGTTCGATGCTAGGCAACATTCAGAACGCCAATAGGTTGGCAATATGGCTGTCACGTGAAGAGTTTTCTATGGAATCCGTGCTGCGACCGTTGCTATGCAATCGTTCGGTAAACGCGTAACAACAATAGGCTGTTCTCTGTGTGGTGGGTACGGAGGCTATATAACGAGATTTCATACAGAAGTGTTTCACCCCCCGTGTGGAGGCGGGGTCGAATACCTCCACCATGACCCTGCAAGTCATAAGATGGGACGAAAAGGGAAGTCTCAAATCTGAGACAGTAAAATATGGTCGCGAGTCCCAAGGGACTCGGACGCGAGAAAGACTACGCTGGCAAGTGCCAGCAGCATATACAAAAGACAGACCCGTCCTCTCGTCAGAGAGGGCGCCCCACAGAAACAAGACCGTAGCTGTCAAACGGTAGTAATTAATAGACACCAAGACTTACTGACTGACTAACCGTCAGTCGCAAAGTGACTTTTACTTTGACTTGAAGTGTTTCATATAAGAGGCTTAAACTTGGCTGCGGTCAAGCATACGACCGTTGAAGTGAATTAGACTGCCGTTGTAGCGGAAACTAGTAGAAATAGGGCATAATCTGCTTGTACAGAGCTTGGACTGACAGAGGCCCTGTATATATTTTATATACATTAACATGTAAATGTAAATATCCTTTACATTATGACAAATGACTTACTACTGCAGACAGTGACTTTGACAAAAGACAGACCCGTCCTCTCGTCAGAGAGGGAGCCCCACAATAACAAGACTGAAATTGTCAAACAGTAATAAAAAATCTGATCATGAGTCCCAGATTGGGCTCGACATCAAGACTGACTGACCGACCGACCGACCGACCGACCGTCAGTCGCAATGCGACATTGACTTTGAACACTGTTTCCGTATTTCAGAGCATTTGAGTGTGTTTAAGTGACGGTGAGAGTTCTCGATGGGAGACAGCCACGGGACGTCCGTAGAAGACCTGTGAAGACTTAGTCTGGAGCCACACGAGCGCACAAAATGCGTCCGTTGTAACGAACGTACTTTATGACGGACGTTGCTGAGGACACCACACAGTTGCAGAATGCGGTGCGTAGTTTTATGTCTGCAATGGAGCCAGAAGAAAGCGTAGCATTCGCCTCTCTTGTTTATTTCTAGAACGGACATCACGACGTTCGTTACAACGGACGCATTTTGTGCGCTTATGTGGTCCCAGCCTTATAAAGTGTGATATGAAGACTATTTATGTGTAATACTCGGAGTGTGTAATCCAGTGAGACTGCTATAGTTTCCGTGTTGAGATCGGTGAAGACAGGAAATCGTAGTGTGCGTGCAACAGTGAATTATGAAGCGTGTGTAAATCAGCGATAACGCTGTAATTTAAGTGTAATTAAAAGAGGTTATAAAGAAAGTGCCAATAAATCCAATCATCCGAACTAGAACCCGTCATTCTCGTCACGCGTACCATCCTACATGTGACAATATATTTAAGTTACTGGCCACACAGAAATTGACTGCGAAGGCGTGCGTTCCGAGGGCTGCAGGTTGTTCAGCACTGCCTTAATTCATGGCGTGAAAAGAAGATGAAAAAAGTGAGTGTATGCTGCTTGGTCGGTTCGTCATAGACAAGACAGTATCCAACCTGCGAGGAATTCTTTTGACCTACCCAGAGGAAATTCTTAGAATTCTGTGACTCTGAAACGTAATGCTTACAGTGCATTTATCTTGTAGGGATGATACAGCGAGACTTCGTTTACCTGATAGGCCGACCTGAGCTATTTTCTCGGCAGTACCACCTTGCAGACGGGAGGTTCATGAACAGTATCTCAGTTTGGGGTATAATTTCTGAGATCTTCTCACGATTTTAACAGTTTCCTCCGAGATTATTCGGGCGAATGTGTCATAAAAATATACAGCATTTTTTCCCTTACCTTTCATAGTTTTTATCTTCTACTTTATTTTCCACCTTGCTCCTTAAAAACATCATCATGATTAGGGCAGTAATGCTACTGTTACTATTATCACCCCCCTTACAGTTCGATATTCCCGTACAGCATGCGGGTCGTGCGTGCAGAAGGTTCTGATTAGCATATTATTTTGGGGACCTTCCGCTTAGTTTTTGTCCCCTTTTCTCGGGCAATTAAGGCAAGTTTCGTGGTAAGTTAACCACATTCTCGCCTTGAGGATGCCACACAAGTGCCATGTCAGTGGTGGAACCCTGACTGGGGGGGGAGGTACCGCTGAACTACAGTATACAGGCTTCACATTCCAACCAACTTTGAGGTCATTCTTTTACATCACTGATCTGTTTCAAATGTCATATTTAGTCTTGTTTTTATTTAGTATAGCGACTGGCCCTGGGCTGGAAGATCGGGTTTCGATTCCCAGCGAGGGCAGCAGTTTTCTCTTACCTGCCATATGGGCTCTAGGACTCAACTAAGACCCCCAGTCAGTGGGTGCGGGAGGGGGGGCTTAGAAGCACGAATATATGCTGAGGTAAAGAATACCTCGAGTACCCCCACTCTGCCTTAAGTCTTCACTGCATATTTCTGATCAAGCATAGGAACCTTGCCTGTTGTTTTCAGTTGTCTCCTGTGTGTATTCTCTTCAGTCCCAGTTCTTTAAGACACCCCGGGGAAATTCTCAAATGACAGGGGGTTCAGCGAGAAGTGGAAGCTTCGAATGACAAAGAAGCGAGGAGCTTCATGGCTCCCTTTACCTTTGGGAAGGCGATCCAGTATCATTAATACTGAGAATCATCGGAAACTTGATAGCGCGAAATTCCAAAGGAGAGGCGTAATTAGGGGCTGGCAGCTATCTATGGTAGAGGCGACAAGAGGGTACAATGACCAGACCACACCCACAAGTGTTATAAAAATACATTCTGTAAAAAGATATCATCATTGAATTTTGTAATGCGAACTGCAGAATAAACGAAAAGGCGAACTTGGCAATCTTGGCATACTTGTTATTTGATTGGAAAGTGTACTTAGGTCTATTACAATGTTTTCTGTTACAGCGTGCCTCATAATTTTATAAAATTGAGCAGGGCACGGATCTTTGAGTCCACCACCCCCATAGCTCAGAAATGGCAAGCTTCACCTCTGTTTTTCTGAATCTGATGTAACAATATTGTGACATGTTGACTCACTGCCAAGAAACAGGTGACAGTACAGTCTGGAACCCAGGGGAAGGGGAGTATCTGCAGTTGGAAGCTGCTACCAAGCAGTGTGACTGAGGACACTACTCTCTGAGTGACGGTGATTTATGAAGTGTAGTCACGAGCTGTAAAAGTGTCCAGTAAATCCAGTTATCAATCCAAGACCCATCTCTAGTCACACTCAATTAAGTGACATGTTAACATTATTAAAAGAGATTTTGACAGACCTGTTTTATAATTGGAAGTGATGTGGCTGTACCCCCTGGGGGATGCAGACTGCTAAACTTCCTCAGATGCCCAGTCAAACAGAGAGAACCTGAGGCCGAACTTAACAGTGACATTGTTATGTGTGTTTTCCCCACAGGAAGACAAGGATTTGGTGCATGAATTCGTTCAGAATGATGGTCTGGCCTGCCTCATCAAAGTTGGCTCAGAAGCGGACCAGAACTACCAGAACTACATTCTCAGGGGTGAGTGTCTTGTAGTATTCATTTCCAGTTGCTAAGGCTTAACAATAAGTTTACAGAAAAATGTATGTTGCCAAATGGCCTTCAGTCTGCATGGGAAGATACCAAGAGATGTAAATGAATAATTATACAATTTAGTGATGAATTTTTGTGCTTAATATCAGTAGTACAGATTTCATCTATGTTAAAATTACCCTTACTTACTTACTTACTTACTTACTTACTTACTTACTTACTTATGCATGGAGCTAAGCCCTTTTGGAGGAGCCGCCAGTTCTGCAGCTACTCAAGAATTTCCCAGCATTTTATGGAACCCGAAGGTTCATTACTGTGTTCACAAGAGCCCTCCACTGGTCCCTATCCTGAGCCAGATCAATCCAATCAATACCATCCCATCCTATCTCTCTAAGATTCTTTTTAATAGTGTCCACCCACCTACGCCTTGGTCTTCCCAGTGGTCTCTTTCTGTCTGGTTTTCCCACCAATATCCTATATGCATTCGTCTCCCCCATTCGTGCTACATGCCCTGCCCACCTCATCCTCCTTGACTTGATCATTCTAATTATACTTGGAGAAGAGTACAAGTTATGAAGCTCCTCATACTGCATAGCATGCCCTGTTGTCAGGGCATGCAATGCAGTAGTTCGACATACATCGAAAAGCACCTGAAGATGGCACTTTAGTGCCAAAACATGTAGTGCAAGAGAGAAGAGTAAGGTGAATAAATGTATGCACTGTAAGACGGTCAGATTTTTTGATGTGGCAAAGTTTACTAGTCTAACTCCATTATCATTATTAATTTCATACAAACTCTCATTCCCAATCGTTTGTTTGAAAATGTCTACCCTCTCTACTTTGGCATTGAAATCTCCTAACAAAATCTTCATAGGGTACTTCAAGAATTTATCAAATACATGTTCTAGTTCTTCATAGAATCTATCACTAGATCAATTTTATCTTCTGTTGGGGCGCGAACATTCAGAAGAATGATATCACACCAGCAACCTTTTAGTATTATATATGATATCCTATCACTAACGAAGTCTACCCTCTTAACTGCTGATATGATTCTCTTATGTATGAAAAACCCTGTACCTAATTCATGATTTTCATTCCCCCTTCCACAGGAAGTTAAAATTACCCTAGACAGTAAAATTAAATGTGCATTCCATCATTAAGCTTTCAACACTTATGAAAATTTTCATACAAAATTTGCAAGTACATTTGTAATATATTTCTTTATAAACTTGTATCTGCCTAGCTTCGGTGGTTCATTACTTATCATATGGAATTCAGGATACTGCCATGTTGGTGTTTTACATGCTGCAAAAAGAATACTTCAACAGAAATTGTATAGTTTTTGAACACCTGTTAGAAGAGAAAATATCATGATCCTCTAGTGCAATTCTTCATCTTAGAAGTTCACTACATACCAAATTTCATGATGCTGGAATCTCGGTCTACCCCACGTTTTCCTTTCAATCAGTTTACCAAATATGATCATGGTTCTAACACATTTTATTTTGTTGTGGAAATCGTATGGAGGAGATTGTAGAAAGAAGTCAGCTAAGATAATAATGGAAACTAATGTTTTAGAATCTCAGAATAGGATCTGAATATGAGGAGTACTGTCGTATAGCATGTAACACCATCTACTCTACATTAAAATCTTTTGAAGAAAGCTAAATTGGTGATGCAGTTTATGACGTATTTTTAATATGAAAAATATGTATATACATAAGTTGGGGGATGCAGTTGTGTTTCTTGTGAGGAGGAGGTTAAAAAGTTTTGCTTTATTTAATCATATAGCATGAAGTGACCTATATTCTGTCCTTTCTGATTCAGTATTTGTGTCTGTAGTACCCACAGGCACCCATTCCTCAGCTGTTCCATTGTTACTAAGACTCTCATCACTTTATTTACATGCTTTTTGCAGCACTGGGACAGGTGATGCTGTATGTGGATGGAATGAATGGTGTAATGGAGCATAATGAGACGGTACAGTGGCTGTATGCTCTGATTGCCAGCAAGTTCCGCCTTGTTGTAAAGACAGCCCTCAAACTCCTCTTAGTGTTTGTAGAGTATGTGGAAACCAACTGCCTCCTTCTCATCAAGGCTGTCCATGCTGTTGACACAACTCATGGTAAGAAGCATATCTTCTGCTCTGGAATCCTGGCACTGAGTTTGCTCATGAGAGGAAATGTTGAATGCACCTTTATAACGTAGATTGGTAGTGTATCTACTTGTAGAATGTCATTCTTGATAGGGGGGAAGAATTTAGAAATCCAGTTAACACATATGTAGATGTATTCATACAACATATTTGCTGCTTACATAAAAGTTAATTTCTTCATCACCAAATGTTTGTATTATAATCATACAAAAACTCATCACCTGAGTGCACGACAAAATTGTGAATATAAGGATAATTAATGAATTCCTTAGAAATGTGGCAAAGTTCAAGCACTAGTACTTGGGAAAAACATAATGAACTTCCAAAGTCGGGTTGTTCGAAAGTGATTGAACAAACAGATACTCGTAAATAGTTTTAAGTGTTACAATGACCTGTTAGTGGGATTTGTTTGTTCTTTGTCAGCTCATTTGTTTCTTGTAATATTCTAATGGGACACTGATAGCTAAAACATTGCCTTCATACTTCAGTGCAGTATAGCAATACCTCGCATAGTCCAGCTTCACTATAGTCTGGTTTGAAAATTTCAAAACAAACTAGATTTTAATAGAGCAAAATAAAAATAAATTTTAAAAAATTATTAGTACATAAAATTATTTTTAATACATAAATGATCGGTTTTTTCCCTTTATACAGTCAAGTCTCTTTTTGTGCGGTTTACTTTTATGTGGTTTTAAAGTTATGCGATACAATACATATTTCAATTTTTTCTGGGGTTCCCCGTTGTATATGTATGTACCTATGCTCGGGTCATTTATTCTTGAGCTCTGACAGCTATCGCTGGAAGAGGAGGGGAGAGCACTACTTTAACGGAATTTTGGAAGAGCTACAACATCAGAAACATTATCGAAAATATGGGCGAAGCCTGGCATGAATGAACGGCAAGCAATATGAGGGCAGTATGGAAACCTATCATACCACATTGTGCAAATTATTTCATTGGTTTTGGAACTCATTTTGCTGAAGTCACTAATAACATAGTGGAAACTGGACAGCAACTTGGTTTGAATGAGTTAGATTCCGTCAACATAATTGAGTGCATCAAATCGAACACTAATGAACTAGATAATGAAACACTTATTAACATAGATGAAGAACGGGAGGACAACTTAGACAACGGTGACTTTGTTGAAGTGCCTGCACGAGAATTAACAGCTGAACAACTATAAAGAATTATTGGAATGGTTGAAACCTTGTCAGAGCATATTATGGAAGTTGATCCCAATATTAAACGTAGCCTTACAATTTGCCGAACGATAAACAATGTAATTCGTTGCTACAAAGAAATGTATGAAGAGAAAAGGCCAAAGAAGAAAAATGTGCAGACATCAATATTGCAATTTTTAGAGAATAAAAAATGAATTGCGAAAAACATGTTTTTTTTTTAAATGATTTCAAATAAAGACATTTGAATTTATTAATCGTGTTTTATTTATTGAAAAACGGAGAATTTTTTGAACCAATTATCATTTTTTGTATGTAATTAGTTCCTCGATTAGTTCGGTTTCAAACAGTCCGGGATATTGGCGGAACCGATTACCTGGACTATGCGAGGTATTGCTGTATATAATTCTCTATATCTGTGAAGTAATGTCTCCTAGGAAGTGGAAAAAAGTGTGACAAATAAAACACGTTAATTTTCTGGGATAACAAACAAATTATGTCAAAGGGGAAAGGAAAAAAAAAATATATTCTCAATTTTCGTGTTTCCTACATACCAAGCAGGACTGAAACTTCGGTGTAGAAAAGTGGTATGAGGACATAAATCAGTCAGCTGAAATTGAATTTGTGAGGAGTTTTAAAGGCTACATTAGATACCGTAAAATATGAATTAAGAACAAAAATGAAAGGGAAAATATAAACTAAAAATAAATGAAAAATATGTTTATAAAAAATAATTGTAAAGTAAGTAAAAAAAAAGTAAAGCTATCTCTCTAGCAGGTCGTGGAGGCCCATAGGGTTGTGAGATGCTGAGGTTCGCACATTCTCTAGACAATTGGCTCATAGATGGCAGCAACATTGTCAGCTCTACGCGCCAGCCGCCCTTTACCCCCCAAAATATTCCTGGTATTCATTTCTGTTAGATGCTGAGTTGACCCCAGGGCCATAGTGCAGCTGGAAGGATTAGGTCAACTAAGAAAATCTAATGACCCCATCAGGACTTGAACCTGCGACCTTCCGGCTTGTAGCATTGTGCCCCAACCAACTACGCTACTGCATGCCCCAAAGAATGATCGTGTGATTCCGAAGTTATTTAATTAATGCAAACCATGGACACTGAAGTACAGGAAAATATGCTTTAACATTTAGTGAATGAAGCTAATCTAAATAATATTTTAAAAGTTTAGTTTCTATACCCAAGAAAACATACCACATTCTTGTTTCAAGTACAAACCTGTAAGTTAAATTAGGGAAACAATCACCATTTATTCTGAGAACCAAACCTAACGCTTAAAGGAATTCTGTGTGTCTAATATATCTTCACTAATATGCTACAGATAGAAATAATGTGCTGTACATAGTTAGAAAATAATCACGAGGTTTGACCAGTACTGTAGACCTAATCAATGAAGATTAAATGCTTACTTTGTTGGATAGCTGCTGCCTTGTGTAAAGTTGACAGCAGCTACTTTGGTCTGATAATATACAAGGCTTATTTTATTTCATTCATTACTATGGCTAGAGTAGTAGTAATTCAATCACTTATTTATTTATGAGCTTACTCTGCAACCTAAAAGCCAATTATAAAGTAAGGGGGACCAAGGAAATAGACAAAACAAAAGTACAGTCTATAAAATATGATTAAGAGAAACAGTTTTGGTTCTGAAGTGCATCTAGCAGGACTGTTTTTTACTGGAAGAGCAGATATTGAACATAGAAATATGACATTAATTATTTAATTTTCCTGTTCCTCCCATTCTTATCTCTCACAAACCAAAGTATTCTCCATATTCATTTGTTTACACATCAATCCAATGTCTTCTCTTTCCTCAGAATAAATATGATCTTGCAACCATATAAATATTGCCATCAGTACACATGAATTTAAAACACAAAATATGCCAGTTCTGTGAATATGTTGGTACAATGACGCAAAATTTAAGTAGTATTCAGTCACTCGCTAAATTAATATTACAAATATTATTAAGAAGGGGAGGAAAGCTCTTGAAGAATAATGTGATCAGGAATGCATGAGAAATAACACAAGAACATTCACATGAGTGATGATATTCTTCATGATTCTGTGAAGATTTATAACAGTGGTTAAGTGCAAAATAATATTTTTGGTGTTGGTTCAAGTCCCATTTTTAGATTATGTGTTGTCAGTACACAGAAATATCCTGTTTATTTCTTTTCTTATATTAATGACAGTCTTAGGGATGGAACCTGAAATTCTGTGAATGGAAACAAAACACATATATGTTAATGAACAGTCCACAGGAGAGTGGAGCAGATCCAACTCCTTTAAAGTCCATATGCCAACTAACTGCATCTCACATAATCCTGTGTAAATTTACTGGATAATATGTTTATTTTCATAAATTACTTATCACACTAATGGCATGAATGTTCTAATGGTAAATAATGAAGTGACAGCAGAATGAAAGCAAATGAAATCAGTACAAGGAAAGACTTTAGATGTGCCTCTCATTGTGAAGGTTTGCTTCCCTGGAGTAACATTGTGAAGCTCCTAAAGGACTATGATGCAGCAGACACAGAGCTTCTGATCTATGCCATGACACTGGTAAACAAGACACTAAATGGAATTCCAGACCAGGACACTTACTATGATCAAGTGGATGCCCTGGAGGAGCAGGGTATTGAAGGGACCATTCAGAGGTAATATCATTCAAGGAAATTTCTTAAATCCCAACAACCAAAGGTAGAGATATTGAATTCTGAGTGATTAATCTGACTGAAGCAGTTCACAACTTGCATGCTTATACAAACCAGAATAAATCACATTTCATTCAAGACACTGTTGCTTTATTGTACTTCATTATAAACATCATTACTCTAGTATACGATGGGGTACCCAAAAGAAACCGAACTAATTTTTTTGTGGGTAGAGCTTTTGTAGTACCGCGTTTTGCCGCTATGAGCGCATAGAGTTAACATTCCCGAGTCGATAAGCCGACTACCGTTGCTTCAGTAGGTAAGGACTAGTTTCGGCAGAGTTTATAGTGACAACTGTTTTGTGTGATCGTCGTTTTTGCAATGGCTGATTTTCGTGAACAGCGTGCGGCGGTGAAATTCTGCTTTTTGCTCGGGAAAAGTGGAACAGAAACTCTTGAAATGTTAAAAACGGCGTACAAGGACGATGCTATGGGGAAAACTCAAGTGTTTGAGTGGTTTTCCCGTTTCAAAAATGGTGAAATGTCAATTGATGACAAACCTCGTTCTGGTCGTCCTTCCACGGCCCGAACACATGAAAATGTTGAAAAAATTCGTGAAATCATCAAGGAAGATCGACGACGGACCATTGAAGAAATTGTGGAGCTGTCGGGAGTGACTTGGAGCTCAGCGGCCAGATTTGTGGCAGTCGGGTGACTGGTTTTTCCATCATGACAATGCCCCTGCTCTGTTGTCTGTACAACAATTCTTGACCAAAAATGGTATGACCCCTTGTTCCTCACCCTCCATACTCACCCGACCTTGCCCCATGTGACTTTTTTTTGTTTCCTTGAATGAAAAGAGACATGAAAGGAAAAAACGACGGAGGCGCTGTCAAGCATCTCAAAAGATGAATTTAGACAATGTTTTGAAAAATGGAATAAAAGACTAGACAAGTGTATTAGTGTAAGTGGAGAGTACTTTGAAGGGGATTGAAGGTTTGTGCTTAAAATTTGAATAAATAAGTTAAAAAAAAATAAGTTCGGTTTCTTTTGGGTACCCCCTCGTATTTGATCCATTTCTGAAAATATGACTTATTTTTCATTTTGCATCCACCTGGATTTTGAGGCTGTAGGTGGTAAATATTTTCAGTCACCTGATTTATCATCTATGTATCAGTAGAGACAAAGTAAAAAAAAAAAAGACTTGACACACATACTTTTTTAAAATCAATAAAGCATGCTAAATATTTATAATGTTGAATATGCCTCCTTCAAGAAGACCTTGCTCTGTGGAATAAATAAAAGTGTTTCATACATTTTCAAGGGCTCCCTGATGTGCTGGTAACTTTAATTTATTATATTCTTTATGCAGACTGAGATGTAATAGTAAACATTATGTTAGGTGGATCACTTTTGCATTCTGTTTCCATGGACATGGCATGAAGACAACAAAATGACAAAATGACAAACACTGCCATGCTTAGAATATTTATATAAATTATGTTAATATAGTGACAACCAATCAGGACATGCAGTCAGTTCCAGAAGAAACGACATGTTTATTAAATGTGCCTCAGACAGTATTGTATTTGCAGTTAGAAATTGGTGCCTGGGTGTCCTTTAAAATGGGACTTCTTGTGAAATTGTTATATATTACATAGGTACATGTCAAAGCAAGGCACAGACCTTGACCTTCTGCGCCAGTTCCAAATTTATGAAGCAGTGTTGCATCATGAGGATGGTGAAGAAAAGGGTACTCCATTGAAACAACTGGATGAGACAGTGCGCAAAACTCTTAGGAATCGAAAGTCACTCACAGAATCAATGATGGCAGAACGACGCAAGTCTCGACGGCATTCTACAGGCACCTCACCTATGTCCTCATCGCTTGGTGGTTCAGTGCGAGGGAACAACTCATCTCTCCAAACCTCAACTGCAGCGGATGATGACGAGTCAGAGTCCTCCAGCTCAAGGTCATCACCAGGCCATGAACTCAATGGCTCTTACAAAGAGAGCAGAGGTTAGCCACCTTGAGCATGCACTGTGTTCTGTATGTGTGCAACTAAATTCATTTTTAGTCATGCTAACAATGAAAATGTTTTGATAGTGGTCCAGAATTTGATTTTTAATATCAGACTAGAGTCTTCTGACAACTCCAGTAGTCATTTTTATCCCTTGCATGTTCATGATTATAGAAGCTGGCACGTACAAGAGACAAAAACTGGAAGTATTCAAATGAAAGTCCTATTAAATGTCTGGGATTTTGATGCACATATTTTTCCCTCTTTAACATATTCATGATGTATTTCTAGCACTGTGCCATGTAACTATTTCAATTAGGCTGGCTACTAGTGATGCTATCAGTATTGGAACTAAATAACTATTTCAAGGCTTGAAAAATTTTAGTTCAGGATCCACTGATACAGAATTTGAAGTAGAAAGGGGAAGTTCATATTGTTTCACTATGATATTAAAAGTCATGCATTTCAATCACCTTGAATTTTTAGTTACCATTGATTTTTACAGAAAATTGCAAATTGATCTACTATGATATTTCATTTTACAAAATAAATTCACATTTTTTGAATACTGAACTTTCATGACTGAAAGATATTTCTTGCGGGTGCAGTCATAAAAATGACTGTCTCTGGGGGTAACAAAGTCTTCTTTCCAAGGATAGTAGGGACAGGAAGACTGTGAATTGACCCTCTACATATAGCTGTTTGTATCTTGGTTTATTTGACAGTACTTTATCAGCTTCAGAGGTTATATGAGCATGCTTGGAGCTTTGCCCCAGTCTGAGCTATATTAATTCCTTGTCAAACAGCTGAGCTGGAACATTTAATCTGAAACATACAGGGGATAAAACAGAAGACAGGCTTGTGTATGATATAAATATTTTTGCAATTAGCTCTAGAATTGGGCACAACACTAATACTGCCTGTCTGCTGACAATCTTCATTACTAACTGCTATTTGGTCCTGCCCACAATACTAGCTGGTGATGCAGGTGTTACACCTGCCCTAAGGCGGCGTCGTGAACGAGCAGAGAGACAGCGCAGTTTCATTCGTGAGCAGCAGGAGACAGCCGCTACCCTCAAGGCAACCCTTGGTAGCCCCGATGAAGGGGTTGCAGATGGTGTGTACCACATATCCCAGAACACCTCAGCTCTAGATTAATAGTGGTCATGCCTCAGAGTGACATGAGACATATAAAAATGTATTAATTAAGCCTTTGTGATAAAATGTTTACAACATGCTCATGTTAATGTCATTTGATTAGCATTTGGTAATGGATTGCAGAGGAAGGGTTAACCTTTTAAATGCTGCATCTCATTGAGATAAGCTTTATTTTGTTGGCATATTTTCATGGTAATGTGTAATTTATATTGCTGAAAAACCATGAATAGTTGGCTTCTATGATTGGCAGGTGACAGAACAAAATAAAAGATAATCCCAATATTGAATGATATTTCCTGGACCCAGACCCTAATCCTTTGAATACGTCTTTAACCAGACTGTGCCCTGACACTATAAAATGGTAGTGGACTTGAATTTTAAAATTCCCTTTCAGAAAACCAGAGACTGTGTAAGAGGTTAGGGAATGGCACATTTGACAATGGAGACTCCCGTTCCTCGAACAAACTTCAACAGCTAAACCGCACCCCTAGCCGCAAAGACCTTACACCCCTTATGAATGCTGTTAATAAGCTACAGGATGCCACACCTGGGGCAGAAACAGAAGGTAATGGAATCCTGAAGAAACCCTGGGTCTTGTCCATGATGTATGGGAAGAACAATGCAGAAGAGGGGAGTGACGACACACCACTGGTTGGCGAAAATGAGCAAGATGACTCTGTAGCAACATCAGAAAGGAAGAAAATTCTACAGTTGAAGCGAGAAAATACAGTGAAGGATCTCACTCAAAAACTGTCCAGTCAGAATATCATCCACAGCCCAGCTGAAGATGGGAACAACAAGAGCATTAACAGGTAGAGAGATCTGACAGATAATATTTGATACTCACCTATTTGCAACTGACCAGTTATTTAATAAAAATGTACTGTATCACTGTAAGCATTAATAATAAGAATGTCTTTTGAAATATGAAGTTTTAATAATGTGACTCAGGCTGCTTTTCAGTTTGTGTGATCTGGAGAGGGACAGATGGACAGATTTGTCAGTGCAAGAGTGTTTTTGAGGCTAATAAAATACTGACAATTAAATAATAGACTGTTACTAACCCTTAGTGAATATCACCTTCCCAATACTAACTTTCAGACTTTGTTCATTTAGCCCAAAGTTTATGACATGCCTATGGTTTAGGGCATGGGTAGGGGTTTGAGATTAAAGAGTTAGTACAAAGGAGAGGTAATAATTACTGATCTAGATGCTCTGTGAGCAGAGAAATTGATTCATTGTATGATGTAATGTGGTGGCCAATTAAGTCATATGCATTTCCTCTCCAGGATAGGAGACATGACTGGGCTCATCTCTAAAGCAAAAGAGGGGCTTGCAAAGTCCAAATCAAAGCAGGATGTTGTAAAAAGTCCAACAAATGAGAACATACCCAAGATGGTGGAAGCAAAGAAGTCTGAAACAGAGCTCCATTGGGAAGAGCTGGTACATTCTATGAAGCGCCCCCTCTCACTTTGTGATCTGGACTTTACTGACCTCAAAAGTGATGATGAGGTGGACATCCTGTCACCTGCCAACATTTCAAATGGTGGTCCACCCCCTCCTCCACCTGTTCCAATGGCTCCTGGTATGTCTTCATCACGAGGCACAGCCCCTCCTCCACCACCGCCTGCCACCAGGTAATTTGACAAGCAACAAATTCGTATTGACAAGAAATAGGCTACAGTTCATGTGTTGATGTGCAATAACAAAATTATTTAATGCAGATGGCAATATGTAACATAGGGCTGAGGAAAGTTAGGTTTATGATCCTATAAGAGGTTTGTTAGAGTGGTTAATTCATTGTACTATAATTACACTGGATATTTCCCATTATCTGAGGTACATTTAATATACAGAATAATTTGGGGTTTGCCTCTGCTTTTATCTTCAAGGGACTGTCATACTGACCAGTTTTTTTTTTTATTTAATTTATTATTGACATATTAAGATCGGATCCTGAACCATTTGCAAATTTATACATGGTAACCACTAGCTCTTCGGGTAATCTAGTGTTTCTGGGAGCTGTTAATACTGAAAACAAAAGCAACAAAATAAATCATTTAGTGTAATGAAGACAGCCTTAGAGTCAACTCCCAAAATAATGTGTGTATTAAATGTACCTCAATGAATTTACCTGACACAGTTGTGATGTGCATTATATTGTTTCCACCTTTTCAGAGCACTGTGTTGTCATTAAAGTTACTGGTTTCTGTGAGACTATTACTGTTCCAGAAATAAACATATGTTGATAGACATTGTTGGTAGTTTGAAGGTGTCATAAAATGAAGCAATGAATTCTGTATCTGTTTTCTGCTGATAAATTAACTTTCAATAACGTTATCACAGGTCTGGCACTGTTGTGCCACCTCCAATGCCTCCTTCAGTCATTAGCCCTCCTCTGTTTGGTGTGAGTCTGCGGTCTCAACGCAGCCCTGTCAATAGCACATCCACTGCAGACACAAGTAAGGCACTTCCATCAACACCAGTCAAGAAAACCAAAAAGACAGTGAAACTATTCTGGAAGGAAGTGCGGGATGACCCCATCATTCTGGCCAAGCTGCAGCAGACAGGAATGATCTGGGATGAATTACACCCAGTCAGTATTGATACTCAGAAGTTGGAGCATCTTTTTGAGTCCAGAGCCAAGGACCTCATCACCAAGGTATGGACTGGTTGTCATCATGTATCCTTAGCAGCTTCATTTCACTTACATAGCAGTGTGTGTAAAGAGAACGCCAAGTTAGAGCAAGATGATAATTACACGTATGAAATAATAGGAGCACATAGTAGCCACAAATGCATGATCCATTTTTAAGTATGTGAACTTGTAGGAACTGGAAAAAATGCTGAGTAGGGGAGTAGGGCATCTGTTTGTTTCCAGAAAGTCCTTAAAATGGCAAATTTTATGGCTCATATTGTTTCATGATTTTTCATGTAACATGCTAGAATATTAAAGTCCAGTTTAATAAAGACATTACAAAATACCAGATGTTCAGTGACCCCTATAGTACAGGCACAAAGTGTGATACTCTGCACCTATTTTTATTATCATTTACATTACCCAAATATAAACTGTAGTGGAATAGTTACATATATAACTTTCTTCACTCGTAGATTAGAGAGAATGCAGTATTTCATTTTGCACCAGTAGTAGGTAGTCCCAGAGTTGCTTGTACTCCTAGATATGATTTCTGATCTATTTAGGTAACATGTTTGAAAACCCAAAATAATTACTGTGTTTATTTGTGTAGTTTGTGCTAATACTGTTAAACAGATATAATACATACATGTTACAGTTCTATCTGATTTTTTCCACGCTTTCTTTAATGGTGTAATTTATGTTCAGTAATTCGAAAATGACATATTTCAAGAACATGTTAGAATAAAGGATTATGTTCTTACCAGCAGCAACACACTGATGTCAGCAAGCAAATGCAAATTCATTAAACATGCTAGTGTACATGAAAATTTTTCCAAAATACTTACTTTTAATGTGTCTTAGTTTATTTGAAAAATTTGGATAAAATCAGTCACTAATATTCTATAAATTCGGAACAAGGAAATGTTTGTAACAGTTTATGCATAGCCAAGCATATGGAACACCATACTGAACATTCATAATAATAAAAATACTGGTTTTGTAATTTCTGAGTGAAACACTGGTACATGTTTGCACTGTTAAGGGAGATTGATCAGATGAAGGGCAGTGTCCATAATACAGTATGAGTAACAAAGATTATTCAGTTACAGTTCAAAACCATACTTCTCATCATTCCAGACAAATTTTGGTCTTAGAAACCCATTATCATTATCTAAGAACACGTACCAAAATCTGAGGCTGCAAAGAACATGCTTATGTCACATCCTGACCTGAATTTCTCGTGGTTTTCCTGAGTCCCACTGGACAAATGCATGGACAGTACCTCAAATTATGCCATGACTGTTTCCAATTCTTTATTCACTGATCAACCTAACATTTGATGCTTCTGATAGCATCATTAAGTAAACTATAAATATAAAAATACTGGTAATGACCTTTAGATCGATTAAGGAAATTAAAGAAATTTTCAGAAAGAATGAAGCAGAATGGAGCATTACCATTACACAAGTAAATATGGTACATGAAATCTTTACTTCTCTGTCAAATTATAAATACAGAACTGAATGTTTTCTCTTGTTAACAACTGTGTGAATGTTTAAGATCAGTTTGCTAATGATGATGAACTCACCGTAGTTTTGAAAATATCTACTGTGGTAGCAGAGTGTGCCCTGCATTGTTTTTTTTTTCTTCTTCTTCTTAAACCTAGTGCATTGTGAATGATTCTGGTATTATGACTACGTTAAATGTACGTGGAATGGATTTATGAGATTACTCAGTGGGTAGTGTGTGTGGAGATTACACTTTCAAGTTATGAAGTTAGTGTATGAAATTAACCATCCAATTCTAGTCATATTATAGATGAACATTTTTGGTTTTAATTTTTTTAGCTCTATTACTCATAAATAAAATATGACCTAAAAGGGAATATTTGACCTTCACTAAGATAAGGACAGGTGAAAAGTACTTGAAAATATATCACTTAATTTGTACTGGAGAAAAAAGTTACTATTATGAAGTTTTATATTTTATTACACGTAAATATATAATTAAAACAGTGGATACTTATAACTTTCTGTGAATTAAGGTAAAATTTTGCAAACATTAAGCTGACATTAGTGTAAAAGACTGAGACCTTTCCCTTATGAGTGAATGCATACATTATAGTCCCAACTGTGTTAGCAATGTTTTGAACTTGATATTTGTTTGCATGGAATGCCAGTTGCCAATATTTGCAGGCACAAACATATAACAGATAACGCTTCTCAGTGATTGCATGCACTGTGGATGCTGTATGGAGTAACAGTGCTAAGAGAAACAAGGTGGAGGTAGTGTCTTCAAGTGTTTGATAGAATGAACCTGTATAAAAGTTAAATTTGAGCAACAGATGGGATTCATTGCATGAAGGTGATATTTTCATTCTCTTGCAAGATAGGTTGTTCACATATATTTTCTTACATGTCTTATGTAATTTACTATATGCAGTACATTTTAATTATTGTAATTTGTATCACACAATATCACACATCCTAGTTTCAGAAAATTTTAAGAAACTGCCAGCATAATAGTGCACAGGGCACATAAAATTAATGTTATAAGGGGAGGTCACGTGCCTATTATATCAATCCATCCACTTGCTTGTTTCATCTCCAGGACAACAAATTTCAGTGAAATTCATTATTTTGGAGCCTGCACTAAAAGTTGTGAGGCAAATTTATTTTGGGTTCATTTCAGTTCAATATAAAACGTACTTCACAGGATGCTCAAAACAAAATGTATCAATTTCCCCCCCCCCTCAAAAAAGTGCCCTGGGGGGGGGGCTCTGACAACTGACATGAAATATAGGTTTCATTAGTGTCTGAAACTTTGTTCTGTGTTTTTAATGAAATTCAAGCAAAGTAATACATTCTTGTATTCATACTTAGCATTGTGAGAAATGAGCTTACATGTTGCTCTACAGAACATATTTCTGCTACACACTTATGTCACAAAATGTCAGCACAAGATGAATAAGAAGAAGAGAGTGAATAAGTTTGTGTCTCTAATAAATGAACATCATAAGCATAGAATGTAAATTTTTAAAGAACATGTTTGAAAAGTATTAGTACTGCATTGGAGTACATCTTTGCATTTTAATTTGTTTATAAGTAATTTGTCATGTTGATGGAATGAACATAGTATGTAAGACCTGAAGCTTTCACACTTAAATGTCAGTTACTTATAACTAACTTACACAGCTAGTAGCCCAAGAAGATTTTATTAACAGTAGGTAACTTACATTTCATGTCTTTGTCTAAACTAATGCAGCTCATAATTTCAATTTCCAGCTCTCTTAACAATACAGATATCAAATTTTGTTTCATCATTCCATATTAGGGAATTAATGTCTGCCATATTATGATATAATCCAAAGGATTTTTGAAAAGAAAATTGGATTCCTTATACACTGTACAATTTAAAGCCACATTATTTGATTTCTCATTTGCTACAACTGTATGCAGTAATACTACCTCTGCCTTATTTCACTTTAGGTATTTTCATTGCTCATATTTGCAATTGTTTCTCTTATTCTTTGAGTGGCATATATTGATTCTGTGTTATTTTCCACGTGAACTAAGTACTAACCACCAGTTTTACATATTTTTACATTTCTTTTTAAATCATTTAGCTTCTAATATTTGACAGTTCACGAGTTTTTCATGGAGTAAATATGGTGCATGTATGTGTTCAGTAGTGTGAATTAATCCCTTTGTTTTTTGTGTATTTTTGAAACAAGATTTTTATCTATCCATTTTTTATTCATGTCATTTATTATATTTTTAGTTTTATTTTACACAATCAGTGTCAATAAAGGAACTTCATTATTTTGATATTTTTGAAAGCTTGAAGTAAAGCTAGCTTTGTAATTTAGGTATAAACATATTTTAAATATTCTATAATTCGAGTCCAAGTTTTTATTTTTAAATATGTAGCAAATAATTATATGTGACAGAAATAACAAATGTGCTGAAGTGCTGCATAACCTTTCCACAAAACACAGTGCTGTGCTTAAGAACACTGAGAAGGATGAAATTTGATAGATATGTGGGCTTTCACAGATACTTTCAAAGTTGGAATATGTATATATGTGTTTGTGCACATGTAATTGTAATTGAATAATTTTAGTTATTATGGAGAAATAAAATAATTTCAACCTGATATATATTAGGAATATTTTAGAAAATTTTCTCATAAAATAATAAATTACTTAACCCCATAATAATTAATTGCAGTTAACTATAATTCATTCACATGCAGATTGTTTTAATTCAAATACACAGATTCAGAGAGACAAGTGCTCTGAAAACAGAGTAGACAGTAGACACATGTTTATCTGTTTATCTCAAAGCTTTAAACAATATCACTTTTTAGTGCAAACATTAGGTCACATTCCCCAACAAGAGATTGTCTAATTCAATTGTTAGATGTTATTTTGCTGTGAGATACAGCTTTGAAATATGCCGAGGGCACACCAAGGAAACTGGCAACTGCAGCGCAAATTGAGGAAATGGCAACACAACTCGTGGAGAGACTGAGAAACTCAATTTCCAAGCAATGGAGCATGCCAGTCTTCTCACAATTGCATTGCCACGTGGTTTCCTAGTATCAGCTCTTCTGTAACGTGCTTCAGTGATTCATTTGTTTAAGGTGGCACAAAAGGTTGATGAAGCTGCTAATTTTGTTTTTGTGCAGTTAATTGAGCAAAAGCCTGGTATACATGACAGAAACCACTCAGACTATGCTAGGTGGGACAAAATAAATTTGGCTTGGGAAAGAATTTCTCATGAAATGAAGTTCAAAACAATGTAAAAGCTTCAGTGTAAATGGTCACAGAAGAACGGATGCACCCAATGTTTTCTTTTCCTAATATTTTATTTAAGCATTCTGTTGCATTAATATATCATTTATTTCACATATATTTCTGCCTTAAATACAACTTATTATATAGTCACCCTTCAAATTACATGGTTCAGCTATATACGGCCATTGTCAGGTGTCTTCTGTCTTGCTAAATTTGTTGCACTGTATGTCAAAATTTTGTATCATGTGTGAACGCATTATTTCCTGATTTCCAAAGGTCTTGCAAATGGTTCACATTTAAAATGACACAGTTTAATGATATCTCTTAAATTTACAGTTCATATTGTAACCCGTCATAACAGGGTTTTAATCTTAAAGAATATCTCATTAAATATCTGCTAGTAAATTAATTGTGAGTAATTAATTTTGTCATATTTCCTATTTTGCTGAAAATATAATTGGATAGAATAGTGAGATCAGTACGAGATACATAGCCCCAAATAATGAATGTGCACAGGCCATATATGTTCTACAGGCTGTTCTTATTTGTAATGTATGACAGTACCTGGACAACGCTTTAAATCGCATAATTTTACTTTACAGTATCTGTCTCTCTGTCTCTGTCTGAAGTACCTCTGTATCATTGCTACTGGGTGGGTGCACTCTTCACAGTTCTCATTACCTACACACACCTAGCAGTTGGTGTAATAGTAAGTCAGATGTATGTGGAAGGTACCTGGTTCAAATCTTAGCCTAGGTATTGGCCAACCCTTCAGATGGGTTTGTGTTTTTAACAATTCCCTGCTAGTGAATGTCAGCATAGTATCCTGAAATATGTCAAGGTTGCCTCATCACAAATCTTTATCTGCTCACGATTGTCTTCCCATCTCATGTGATGCTGTGTAACATCCATAGTTGAGGTAATGTTATTAAATAATGCAATAATCAGCTGATATTTGAATGCATTTCATAACAAAGATTACATATAAAATTCTAGGAACAAACATCTGCCATTATTAAAAGAAACTGTTTCCTGTGTGTATAAGAATTGAAACTGCATACTTAATATGATGGGGTTATGTTGATTTCTGCAATTATTATCAGTTCTGGCATGCTCGATTTTCATAATAAAAATGTTTTCTGTTCTTAATAAGCACTTACAAGTCACTTTAGATTCATGTTACAAAGACTCTCAAAAAACAGTGTAAGCCAAGCAGCTGTGCATTGTAAAGCAGGAGTTGTGCAGCACTTGTCTGGGCTGTTCTGTTGCTCTGCAGGTACTTGGCTCTGTGACTCACTCCTATACTGTGTACTATATTTTTGGTGTCCTGTAAAGTCCAACAGGCTTTTGGTACTACTTACTTTGATGCTTATTAATATTTGTATATTTCTTCCCCAACCTTTTGAATGGTCATCATCAATGAATGGCATGCTGGTCTTCCAGGAGGTAAGTGCTGGGGATTTGGTGCAGGGGGTTTTCTCTTAATTACTGTAGATATGTGAAATATGAATGGGACTTGCATAATGTAAGGTTTGAATAAACCCTCCAGTAAAGAGACTTCATTCTTTGAGTCATATAAATTATGATAATTTTGATTGGTCAGTTAACTATTTATGCCTTGAATTAACATTGTTATAAGTATTTGCTATCTTATTCATATGCATATTTTAATATAATATTGACAAAGTTTTGTAGATAAGGGTTTTTAGATTTTCTTCTATTTTGGATGAAAATGATGAGAATGTTGAGCAATTTTAGAATTTAAGAGTTGAGTGATACTTAGAATTTATAGAAGTATGACATACATAAAGACAAATCAAAATAACTGATCTGAGTGCATATGTCAAGTGAGCAAAATGTACCTACATTTGGTAACATAAGCTTAAAACACCTTCTATATGAAAACATTTTGATGTTCAACATTTAGTTCATGATGACTTTTCCCCACTGAGAAAGTACACGGCGTTGTATTTCAGCAAAATGTGTTATTGGGTATTCCATGGTTATAAATCAATGAAGACTGTTGAATTACAGTTAAGTTTCAACAAAGACTTATTGACAGACTAAGAATTGTAGCCTCAGTTCAGTAACACAAATTCTTTGTACCAGGTGAGAACCAAATCAGTCTCTGGGTAGATGGTTCATAAATATATTTCAGCAATATACTCAAGACAATCTAACATTCTCTGTCCTAATGGGGTGTACTGCTTTTACAGAAAGGTTTTTAAGACTAATAAACCAAACTGTTTATCTTCCCACTTTAACATTAAACATAACAACATCTTAAATTTAATATTGTAAAAAATCATTATACCAAAAGGTAGATGTTAACATATTTATGCCAAAATAAAGCACCTATGATACATAAAACCTTAAAAACTCACATTAAAATTAGTAATTACTGTTTAAAAAAATCATTCAGTGAATAAAAATAATTCAATAGAAGGTAGTNTAAATATATTGATACTATAAGGGGAATTCCCCCAGAAGATTATACCATATGACATAACTGCATTAAAGTAAAAAAAGTAAATCATCCTTAGTGATTCATGGGACACAAAGGGTCTAATAGTATAACATGCTTTGCTTAATTTAACCATAAGTCCATCAATATGATGCTTCCATGACAAGGAGCTGTCAACAGTAATACCTAAAAACCGAGTCTTTGTATTGTTAATAATATATTTATTATTATAACTGATAACTAATTTAATTGTTTGGCTATTAATGGTCCTAATTGTATACACTGAGTTTTGTTATAATTTTGTTGACAACAAATTGATATTGAACCATTCATTCAACTGTCTGAAAGAGGAAATGATAACTTTTTTAAAATTTACTAAATTAGGATTACTAACAATAATGCTGGTATCATCAGCAAACATGACTGGCTCAGCGTTATAAGTAACTATTTTAAGTAGGTCATTTATGTACAAAAGAAAAACATTGGTCCAAGTATAGATCCCTGGGGCACTCCATGTTTAATCTTCCCCCATTCTGAAGAAGTATAAGAATGTGTTAATTAATCATCAATGAGGACTCGCTGATACCTATCACTGAGATATGATTTGATTAGAGCATATGCATTGCCTACATTTCCATAGAATTTCAGTTTGATTGATTGATTGATTTATTTATTTAACATCCATAACTGTTACATTATGTACAATTGGACAAGTCAGTTTTTTAAAAAAATATATGAGATTAAACATCACATCAAATGACTAATAATATAAAAAACCATAGAAAAATAACATAATAAATGTTTTCTTCATTAATAAGTCATGATTAACGCAATCAAAGGCTTTCTCGAGGTCACAGAAAATACATCCCACAAGTTCCTTATTATTGAAGGCCTGTAAAATATCATTTAGATGTTTAAATGTTGCCTTTCCTGTTGAGGAATTCCTTCTAAACCCATACTGTTCACAAGATAATATAGCATTATTTATTACATGTTTAGAAAGTCTTATACATAAATCTTTTCAAAAATTTTAGAAAAGGAAGTTAGTAATGATATAGGCCTGTAATTTTTTATATCTTTATTGTCGCCTTTTTTAAATAATGGCTTAACCACAGAATATTTTAATCGTGTAGGGAATGAACCAGATGACATTGACCTATTACAAATATAATTCAAAGGAGCAATGATAAATGGAGAACTTATTTTAAGGATTTTTACTGAAATTTCATCGTATCCAAATGAATTTTTGGATTTAAGGGATTTAATAATTTTTTTAATTGCTCTAGTCATATTATCGAATATTATATTTGGAAAGGGGTTACTGAAAACTCTGTATAGATAATCAATACAATTATCTTCTAATTCCTCACTGTTATTGATACTGGAAATTATTTTGTCTGCTATTAATAGAAAGTAGTTTTGAAAGGAATCAGGTACCTTTCTCTGCCTGACAGAGGTTCTGTGCAGATTAATTTCATCTATACCAGTTTCCTTCTGTTGTTTTCTTTGTTCATTATTTCTTATGTTCTCACTATCCATACTTACATTTACATTACCAGATAAAGTTATCATCTCTTCATTACAGCTATCTATGTTACCGAACAAAGCATTATCTATCCAAGTAAGATTGATCGGGGTTAGAAATCCTTTTCCTACTAATTTATTAATTTGTAGGGATATGAGTTTCACTACCAGAGTCTTTCCTATATACTGGAATGTGCTATTACTGATGGTAAATGTGGCCAGGTCATGAAGCTCACCACACACTTCAGTCTAATTTCATATTCAAGAAAGCCTGGGACTCTAAACCCATCATCTCATATCACTATACAGGATGGTGATCGGACTTTGAGTTCACCTCTTACGTCCGTAATTTAGAATATGGTGTTTTGTTTAACAAGTTATGTCATTAAAAACGCATTTTTAAAATTCACTCTGAGCTGTAATGGAAGTTTATCCAAAAACAAATGCTGTAACAGTTTTCTTCTTTTCTGCTGATTGATAAAATCCTATTGTTATTGCTGTGAAAAGTTAATCTATGGCATTCTGTTGCAACCAGAAACAACAAGAAATGAATAAGAACAAGGAGATCATTGTGTTGGACCACAAGCGCTCAAATGCCATCAATATTGGTATGACAAAGTTGCCACCACCCCGTTCTATCAAGACTGCAATTCTCAAGATGGACGCAACCATCATGAATCGGGAAGGAATAGAGGTAGGTATGTCAGCCTGGAGCTGCAGATAAGATAGAAGCTTCCATAATTGTATCATCCATAATCTTACTACACACATGCTCATCTTCAGTAGGGGCCTGTGCATGCCTAGTAACAAATTAACCCAGTACTACCTGAAATATAGTAACATTAACATTAACATTTATTCAGCATTCCATAAATCCTTACATGGTTATTTCAAAACACCACGGATATAGAAGTAGTCAACATGAGTAAGCATAATTACATAATGCATCACATTTGTGCAATGTCATAACAGTAGCCATATATAAATATTTACAAAAAACATGAATACATGAATACATGAACATGGATATAGAAGAAGTCAACATGAGTAAGCGTAATTACATACTGCATAACAATTGTGCAATGTCATAACAGTTAGCCATATATAAATATTAATAAAACATGAATACATGAACATAAACCGTCACATGCAACAATAAAGTGCTATTACCTACAATCTGTAACAAAATCAGGAACATCAGTTGTTATCCTAATTGTATTATGTTTATTATTATTTTATTTCATTCAAAATCCAAAATAAGGATACAGAATTTGTCATGATATTCTCAAATACATACCACACCACAAAACATACGGGAAAACTGATTAATATCATCAAATAGGCACATACACAGTAGACACAACAGAATAAAAATTGTAAAAATATCAGTAGTTATAGGTTATAAAGATCAATAAATATCAAACAAATATAAATAAGTCAATAAAACCAATCATATATATATATATAATAAGAATA